GTGTCTGAATGAATGGGAAGCCTCTGTACTGAGTGCTTCCCATTCACTGAGTGCTGAGGCTGCTGAAAAAGAAATTGAGGATTTGGTGTCCTCAATTTCTTTTTCTATTTTAAAAGGGAAATGTCAGCGGTCTGTTTGGACCCCTAATATTTCCCCAAAGCCCCCCCAAAAGTACAAAATAAATAATAAAATTAAAAAAATATATAATAAAAAATAATAAAAAATTACAAAAATTATTTTAAAAAAGTGAAAACTGCCCCCCAACTTCGAAGGCCTGGCTAGTAGCTCAGGACCTGAAATTTTGAGCCCTGGGTTCTGGTATTGAAAGAATCCTCCTTCAAAGCATTTCCATTTGTGCAATTCCACTCCAGAACCATGCAATGGATTATCCTAGGACATATTACTGGACATGAGACCTGATGGCAGACGTCTGGTGTTGCCATGGGATCAGTATACCTTACTCTATGTATTTCCTCTACCAAAGCTTCTACCTCACCTCCCCTTTGTGGCACCAGGGCAGAGAGTGTGCTAGTCATTCTCATAGCTCGGGTGGGCCTTGGACAGTGTGGTATGCCGAACTTGTTCGTCTGTTAGCCAACACTCCGTCACCTCTAACAGATCAACCAGATCTGTTATCAGAGACAGATATACAGCCCTGATTCTCGTTCACTGGCTTGCTGGCCTGGCTAATAATACCCAGGTTCTGAGAAACAGGGGCATTTTGAATTTGGTGTTCCTAAATATGCTTAAGACTCATGATTCTGCTTCCCATAATGCTTATTGTTGAACATGGAAGACTTATTTTCACTGGTGTGAGTTGATCTGCATGCCCTTCAGTCAACTTCATACTTTATTTCCAGTTGGAAGTAGGACAACATTTGGCCCATAGCACCATCAAAGGTCAGGTGTCTGTACTATGCAGGCTGTTCCACATCCTCCTACTAATCATTCACTAACTGGTACTTTTATAGAAGGGGTTCACACGTTGCTCCCCCTGTTAAGCCTTTCTTACTACTTTGGGATGTAAATCTAGTCTTGTCACAGCTCCAAAGACCTTCCTTCAAACCTATTTTGGAAATATTTTTGATGTTGCTATCCCATAAGGAAGCTTTTCTTGTGCTCATCACTTTGGTCAAAAGGAGCTCTGAGTTATTGAGGGTAGTATGTTCCCTCTGTTGTGTCCAGCACTGGTTCATTCCAAGAAGATCTCTTTCCATTGTCTGTATGCGGTGAGGGCCATCAGGGTTTATCTCTCAGCCACTGCTTCTTTTAGGCAGATGGATTCCTTATTTCTTAAACCAGAAGATCCTAAAAGATGTTCTGCAGCTTCCAGATCCACTGTTTTTAAGTGAATTTGTGTGGTTGTTGTACAGACCTATGAGTTGCCAGATAAACTACCTAATTTTTCCATTCAAGCCCACTGCACTGAGTGCTTCTTGGGCTTTTTGTCATCACGTGTTATCATTTCCTCTTTGAACTGCTAGCTACATCTGAACATTTGGGAGTTGGTAGGGGTTATAGCCTCTAAGGGACTGAGCTTCAGTTTGCTATGTGCCTAGTGTCTATTTTCCAGTGTATAACCCTTGGTTGCTTATTTTCAATAAAGCTGTGCCCTTCAATGGACTCAGAGAAGAGGATTTTACTCTGAGTAAAAAAATTGTTCATGAGAATTGTTAGTGAAATTAAACCTTTAACAAATACATGAAAGATTATTATACCTTGTTTGAAGGTTCAAGTTTCAGTGCTTTTCTTAAGATGGCTATAGCATCACTGTACTCTCCTTGCTGGGCCAATACCTGCAGAAACATGAAAATTACTTTGCAATCTGATGTTACTAAAAACTTTACCACTTTAACCATCCAAAGTATAACTGCTACATGCATGGGAAACACTGAAACACAGCATCTTTGCATTTCACACCCAACCGGTAAACCAAAACCCAAACTGCAATCATAACTTGATAGTAACTGCTTGGCTTTCTTCTATTAATAAACAGTCTTACTAGAAGGAGCTCTACCTTTCTGCTTTAATATGAAAATCCCTTTTTTAAAGCCATTTTTGTACGTTCAAAACAAAAATATTAGCAATTTTTTGGTAATATTCCTTCAAATGTAAGCAGAAGCAGCATAACATAGTTTGGCAGATAATTGCACTTTTAGTGCTGCATGCTGATAATACAGGGTGAAACAGTTTGAAGACAAGAGTAAGACTGACCATTTAAAATATAGGAACTAGAGAGACATCTGGTGGTGGATTAAGAGTATGGCTCTTCAAAATCTAAATAAAAGGGTGGCCAAAAGAAAAATGTATTTTTGGACTACTGCAGACTTACTGCACATTTTTTCTGAATCTTGCCATGGAAACCTTGATGAAGAATCAGCCATAGACCCTTCACTTTGAGACATCTTACCATTTTCAGGTATATTGTTAAAGTGTATATTTTTTTCTTTTTTAGACAAATAAAAAGCGGAAAGCGGAATAGAACATAGACTTAAAATGCTCAATGCAAATAAAGCAGTTGGACCAGATAACCTTCACCCCAAGGTACTTAAGGAATTAAGCCAGGTTATAACAAGACCCTTATTCCTAATTTTTAAGGAATCCTTAGTGACTGGTAGGGTACCGTGTGATGGGCTACAGTAGTTCCAATATTCAAAAAGGGGGCTAGATGCCAACCAGGGAACTATAAGCCGGTCAGTCTAACATCGGTAGTTTGTAAACTGTTAGAAGGTATAATTAAGGACTATTTGGTAAAATTTGTTAAGGATAAGGGCATAGTTAATGACAATCAGCACAGGTTCTGGAAAGACCGTACCTGCCTGACTAACTTGCTAACTTTTTATGAGGGGGTAAAGTAGAGATATGGATGGAGGCATTTGATACGGTACCACACAAACGCTTGCTACACAAGCTGAGGGCTATGGGCATAGATGAGGTGGTGTGTACGTGGATAGAGAACTGGCTACGGGAACGTGTCCAGAGAGTAAATCAAACTTCAAAATTGTGATGTTCCAGACAGCTAGCATATACATGTGCATTGCAGTCCATTTAATTGCATATGTGTATAAATATTTTAAGCAGATCTTGAAGTACTACAGAAAGACTGCTCATTTCCATGAAGATGAAGATCCACCTGGTAAGGCCCATATGCATTTAATAAATGTCTATATTGGAAAGTAGTAAAAATAGGATTCCAATTAAAGCGCAGAATATGGCTGCTTAAAGGAGAACTATGGGGTCAGTGTTTTTCCCCACAGTTCTCCTTAGGGTAACGGGAGGACACAAACTAGCGTCCTCCCGTCACCCTAAGCTCACTATACCGCGAGCTACAGCTCGCGGTATACTGAGACGCCGCAGCCGGAGCGGATCCCGACGTAGATGGCGTGAGTGACAGCTGGCTCTGCCTATCTAGAGGCAGAGCCAGCTGTACCCGCCCCCTCCCCCGTCCGTTCCGCCAGTCAGCGCTGGCAGATCGGAGCGGGGAGAGGGGAATCCAGCCCCTCCCCCTGTCATGGCAGAGAGCCGTGACAGGATCGAGAGGCGAGCGAACCCGGTATGTGTTCGCTCACCTCCCGATCTACTGAGCCGACCTGTGACAGTCTCATTGTCACAGGTCGGCTAGAACTATGAGGTGAGTGAAAAGCACTCACCTCATAGTTCTCCTTTAA